TAACCACTACGCTACCAGAGCGCCTTATTAATGTAGAGCACCAAAAGATAATGTTTCAGCAATGAACGACAAGTATCTTTTCCCTAAGGTGACCAAAGCTATTGTGTACATAGAAGAAATGAACAGCATGGCAGATGTTACCTTTCCCTCTGTCCCTCAAGTTGTGTCCTTACTGATGTATGACGACATCACCACAGCAAGAGAGCCTGCTGGGCCCGTGTCTGGCTACCCTGTTGTCTGTATTACAGTAAGTAGAATATTAAGAAAATTGAAGACATTGTGGGAAAGTTCATTTAACTTTATTATAAACTTTAACCAATATAGTATTGATTTTTTTCATGACAAAATTAAAGTGGGAAAATTGACACGGTTTAAGCTTTGAACTTTAAAAAGGAAAATATAACCGGAAATATTTTTCTTCCTTCATCCAACCCATGTGTACATAGTATGTTATCTCATGGTTAGTCACTGATACAAAAATAAGTAAGGTCTGAGCGATGCAATCAGAAACTTAAAAATAGCAAAAAGTATACAAGAATCAGTCACTGTAAGGAAATGTGATCATTTTCAGGAGAATGATATGAATTAAGAGCTAGGATTATAACTCAGTGTACCTGGAAGGTTTAGGGCCAAGTTGGATTTCAGTGGATTGAGATAACATCAGATAGGAAAGGCTGGTGTGGCGCTATAGGATAAGCACTTGTCCTCAAGGTCAGTTTGAACTGCAATGTCATAGGTTCAAACTCACCCGCCACTCCTCAGAAATCCTACACTGGGTTGCCATGAGTTGGAACTGACTCAATGTCACCTAACAGCAACAATGCCAGAAAGAAATACTACAACAACAACAGAAGCAGCCCAAGAGAAAGCACATTATACTTCCTTGTTCACTTGTCTTCTCTTGACTCTAAGTCTTGAGCTCTTAGTGAGCAGACTGCGACTTATTTCTTATTTGTGTGTGTGTGTGTGTTTTGGGCCACAAGGCCCAAATTTATTATTATTATTATTATTTTTATGGGAGTGAAATTCACAAAATATAAACATTAAGGGAACAATTCAGAGATGTTTTAGTACAGCACCAATGTTGAGCAACCACAATCTCTACTTAGTTCTAAAACATTATCACCCCAAATGGAGACTCTGTACCCAGGAAGCAGTTACTTCCACCACTCATCTGACAGTTTGTCACACTGTGCTGGCTTGCATGTTGCTATCATGCTGGAATCTCTGCCAACGGTATTTAAAAAACCAGCAAGGTCACCCACAGACTTATTGATTTTTATACCATATGTAAGTACTATTTTTTTTAATTAGTACACCAGAGGTAATAGTTTGAGGTCAAATTACAAAGGTCCTTAGATATCATGTTAAAGAATTTGGACTTCATTTGTTGGGTAGAAGGGGTGAAGAGAGTTATATTGGAGGATCCCTGTCATCATAGTTTGTCAGTGGACTAGAAGGAATGGTCTTAAATTAGATATGGAGGGAGGAATGAAAAGAAAGGACCAATTTAAAGGACATTTCAAAGAATAGTAAACCAAGGGGACTGACCCACTGGATGCGGAGCCAAGATAAAAGGGAAGACAGACAACAAGGATGGTTCAGAATTTGGAGAACTCAAGAGATGATGTTAGTAAAAATTGTTATCTCTATTAATTTAGGGTGAATGCTATTTGAAATGCAAAGTTAGCTTTCATACATGCTATCACATCTGGGGAGAGACATTTGGAAGCTGCATTAAAACCATGTTGTTGTTGTTGTTATGTGCCATGGAGTCACTTCTGACTCATAGCGACCCCGTGCAGGGTTTCCGAGGCTGTAAATCTTTACAGGAGCAGAAAGTCTCATCTTTCTCCCATGGAACAGCTGGTAGTTTCCAACTGCTGACCCTGTGATTAGCAGCCCGATTTGTAACCACTACGCTACCAGAGCTCCTTTAATACCATGTACACATGGAAAAAAGTTGAATGAACTGTGGCAGAAAGAATCTGAGAGGAATAAGTGAATATTGTTCTATACTGTGGTCCTAACATAGTACTTTCTTTTCCATAGGCTTGCAACCCCAAATACCCAGATTATGACAAGACAGGCTCTATCTGTGTGAGTGAGAACATCAATGACACTCTGACCCGGTACCGGTGGCTGACTAGTGCCCCCACCAGCTTTGACGGTGTGACCAGTCCCATGAGAGAAGTGGACTTTGACACCTTTTTCACATCATCCAAGATGATCACTTTGGACTCCATATACTTTCAACCTGGCTCCAGGGTGCAGTGTGCTGCTCGAGCTGTGAACTCGGTTGGAGACGAAGGTCTGGAGCTGCTGAGCGCCATTGTAACCATTGGCAGAGAAGAAGGTATTGTACTTCCATTTTCATGTGAAGATGACATAAGGACAAATCACTAGAAGATCGTGGCATATTATGCATAGTTGTTGTTGTTAAGTGCTGTCGAGTCGGTTCCAATCCATAGCGACCCTGTACAGGGTTTCCGAGGCTCTAAATCTTTACAGGAGCAGAACGCCTCATCGTTCTCCCACTGAGCGGCTGGTAGTTTCGAACTGCTGGCCTTAAGGTTCGCAGCATGACTCGTAACCACTATGCTACCAGAGCTCGTACTCTTCATAGTACTCGTTTTTAATATATTCTTTAGATGTTGCCTGTTATTTTTCTTTTACAGTAAGTCTGTTCATTTTCATTAAGGTCTGTGTCAGCCCCGCGTGCTAGGGATCGTGGGGGCAGAACCGTTCTCGGCTCAATTGCGCTACACAGGCCCCGAGGAGCCAGACTACACAAACCTCATCAAGCTCACAGTCACTATGCCACACATAGATGGTAAGTGACCTGGGTAAGCACTCCTGGCAAGTGTTCTGGGTTTCCCTTTACCTGGTTTATTTTACTTAATTCTCTAAATAATCTAGCAATTTGTGCTTCTAGTCCTCTGCTTCTTCCGAGTCTTTCAGTTTTCTTTCTATCCTATTTTTTAAAGCCTGATAGTTAAAAAAAAAGTTTGCCACCGAGTTAACTTTGACTCATGGGGGTCCCATGCAAGTCAGAGTACAAAACCACAAGGTCTTCAATGCCTGATTTTTCTAAAGTACATTTCCAGGTCTTTTTCCCCCGAGGCCCTTCTGAGTGGACTTGAACTGATAATCTTTCAATTAGTAGCTACGTGTGTTAAGCACTTGCTCCATTGAGAAGCTCCCTGAAAATGTAATCATTATATAAAAATAGATACATTTATTAGATTCCCAAACATCATGAATAACAACTTTGGTTAGTGTGCTAATTTTTATGAAGTATTAGAACAAATTTGTCTTTAAAACTCACGAACTTAGACTTACAGTAAAGCATTTGGTCTCTGAATGATTACTTTCAGCATATATGAGGGGGGGCTTCAAAAATCTCCTGGGAAAATGGAATGAAAGGATAATGAATTTTTCCACAAACTTTCTGATGTTGTTGTGGTCGTTAAGTGTCACTGAGTCAGTTCTAACTCATAGTGATCCTGTGGAGTAGCTGGTGGGTTTGAACCACCAAATTCATGGTTAACAGTCCAGTGCATATCCTACAGTGCCACACCAGTACTCCAAAATGAAATTAGCAGTATCATGTTTTGTGTTTCCTCTGGTGAGGACCTGTAACCAGAATTTGTGAGCCAGGAGCTCTGGTAGTGTAGTGGTTACGAATCGGGCTGCGAACCTTAAGACCAGCAGTTCGAAACTACCAGCCGCTCCGCGGGAGAAAGATGAGATGTTCTGCTCCCGTAAAGATTTACAGCCTCGGAAACCCTGTACAGGGTCGCTATGGGTCAGAACCAACTCAACGGCACTTAACAACAACAACAACAACAACTTCATCTACATTCCCCACATGCAGAAGGTGTTTTCAATTTCTCTTCCACTTACACTTAATAGAATCCTGATGTGGTGCTGTGGGTTAATACACTGGACCACAAGGTCAGCAGTTCAAGCTCACCAGCTGCTCCTCAGAAACCCTATACAGGGTCGCTTTGCATATTCTGAAACTTCTCGTATTCACACCTCTACCAAAAGCACGGTGCAAACTGACCAGTTTTCTGATGCGTCTAGAATACTGCTTTGGGCAAATCTGTGAGGGAAAGGTGGTAAAGGGTCAACGAAATCTCTCACAGTCCTATTGTGTGTTCCCTGTGCCAGGGGCCAGTGTTTTCATGGCTTGTGATCTAAAAAGATTTTTACATTTTTTAGTGTCTGAAGAAAAACATCAAAAGAAGAGTATTTCATGAAACATGAAAATTACATGAAATCTAAATCCCTTGTCCATAATGAAGTTTTTTTCAAACACAACTATGTGCTTTCACCCTACAATGGGAGTGTTGAGTTGCTCCAACCAAGATCTTGTTGTTGTTGTTGTTAAGTGCCACTTAGTCAATTCTGACTCATAGAAACCTGTGTAGGATTTCCACGGAGTGGCTGGTGAGTTTGAACCACCAACCTTGCAGTTCACACCAACCTGTGATCCAGTATTTTATCCTACAGCACCAGACAGGACTCCTATGGTCTATAAAGTGTAAAATATTTGCAATTTGGTCCTTTACAGAAGAAATTTTCCGACTCCTAGCCTATACTTTAATGGGTGATCAAAATGATTTGATCAAAATTACTGAAGACCTCAAACACATTTTGTTTTGTGAATCTATGATATTTCCTGGTTTGAAATTAAAACTTCAAACATATTTACTTATTTAAAAATAACAATAATGTATCTCTTAGACATTAACATGACTAACACAGTTTAAAGAAAAATAATTAATTTTATAATAACTATAAAAAACAAACTGTTAATGATAAGAATGTCATTGCTTTGCATTTTTAAAGACATCTTTAATATCTAGCTTAGTAGAAGAGAGATGGATTCTTATTTCTATTTTTATATCAAATGTATGGCAATAAATCACATCCTATAGTCTCTAAAAGAGTCCTGGTGTGGCGCTGTGGGTTAATGCGCCACACTGCAAAGCCGTTTGAACTGCAAGGTCGGCTGTTCAACCTCACCAGTTGCTCCTCAGAAACCCTATACAGGGTTGCTGTGGGTCGGAACCGACTATATGACACTTAACAACAACAACAATAGCCTCTAAAGGAGTCCTGGTATGGCACAGTGAGTTAATGTGCTGGGCTTGCAAAGTCGGCTTGAACTGCAAGATTGATGGTTCAAGCTCACCAGCCGCTCCTATGGGTCAGAACCAACTCAATGGCATTTATCAACAACAAACATAGCCTCTAGAAAGCTCTACTACTCTATTATACAATAGTGAGAGTTCAAATGCAATGGGCAAATAATATCTTAGTATTGTTATGAATATCATTTTTGATGTTAGCGTTCTTCTGAAAGATTCTCAGGGAGCTCCAGAGGTCCTTGGACAGCATGTTGAGACTCCGTGCTCATGTACTCTGATAGGACTTTAGAGGACTTGCCTTCTCAGGAAATTAAGACGTGTGCAGAATACTTTGCTTTTCACTGAATCATTAACAGTGACACCAATATCCTGCAGGCATGTTGCCGGTGATCTCCACCCGTGAGCTCTCCAACTTCGAGTTGACCCTGAGCCCAGATGGCACCAGAGTTGGGAACCACAAGTGCTCCAATCTCCTGGATTATACAGAAGTGAAGACTCAACATGGTTTCTTGACTGATGCCACGAAAAACCCAGAAATCATTGGGGAGATGTATCCTTATCAGTACAGTTCATCTCTCAGGGGTTCCAGTACCTTACGCTTCTACCGAAACCTGAACCTGGAGGCCTGTTTATGGGAGTTTGTCAGCTACTATGACATGTCTGAACTCCTCACTGACTGTGGGGGTACCATTGGAACAGATGGACAGGTAAGGATTATTAACATTTGAGCTTTGGTCTCCTCTTTGGTCTCTGGAAACAACAGTAGGGTTTATTCTACTACGTAGATTTGGACTATATCTAATCTGCTATTTTGGTGCTATAGGTCCTCAGTTAATTAAGCCCCAGTTAGAGGTCATGTATTTGAGGGGACACTGTACAGTTACTGCTTTAAGTTTCAAATCTTTGTTAAGGACTATATTATAAAAATCTAAATATTGACTTCCCTTCAAAGTGTACATTCTTGTGTGCACGCATTAATAAAAACATTGCCATCCAGCTGATTCAGGCACATGGCAACACCATATGTGTCAGAGTAGAACTGCGCTCCATAAGATTTTCAGCTGCTGATTTTTCAGATCACCAGGCCTTTCTTCTGAGGTGCCTGTGAGTCAATTCAATTCTTCAACCTTTTGAGTAGCCCAGTTCATTAACTGTTGATACTACCCAGGCACTCAATGGCAACCAATAAACCGCAGAAAAGGAACATTTTAATTCTCAGTGTCAGCGTTGTTTTGTTACACCTTACTTTCTTTCTTTACTTTCCATCTTTTTCTCCTTATCCCTCCATTTTTCTGTAATGCCTAGTCTTTCTACTTGTCTCCTTTTCCTCTGCTCTGCTGTATCGCCATCATTACCATAGTCAAAGGTGCTCTCATGAAAAAAAAAAGCTCATTATTATGTCTACTCTACAACTGCTGTCTCTTCATAACACAAAGATCAGCACATAAAACGCACAAAAATCCTCCTGTTTCCCATTATCAGCCTCAACAAAGTTGTTAAAATGATGATAAGGAAGTGTTTACAACAGAGAATCTAAAGTATGAAGGTACAGGCTTGAACAGATAAAGAATTGGTAAGTGGGTTAATACATAAAATTCTTTCTGTGGTACTCAAAATAGTTCATCTATTTTAAGATTTAGCCACAGGAGACCAACTTTGCTTGTATTCTTGAAGTGTTAAATTAAGTGTAGCGCTGTGGGTTAATGCGCCAGACTGCAAAGCCATTTGAACTGCAAAGTTGGTGGTTCAAGCTTACCAGCTAGCTGCTCCTTGGAAACCCTCCCTATTCAGGGTCGCTATGTGTCAGAACCAACTTGATGGCACTTAACAACAGCCATGAAAAAATGTAAACGATCCCTTGCTATTCATTTATTCCACATCAAAATTGTGAAATTTAACAAGCTCAGCTAACTATTTATGTATAATGGACAGCTATATATTATGTCTGAGATATTGGACTGAAACGTAGTGAGGTATTGTCTTGATTATCTAGTACTGCTTTAGCAGAAAGAATATAATGGAGGCTTTAACCAAAAAAATGCACTTTCTCACAGGGTAAAAGGCTAGAAGTCTGAATCCGGGGTACCAGCGCTGGGGAGATGCTTTCTCTCTGTGTGGGCTCTGAAAGAAGGTCTTTGGCACTTTGTCCTTTGACTAATGTGAATTGGCATCTCTCTTCCCCAACTCTCCTTTCTCTATCTACTCCTTTTATATCCAAAGAAATTAACTCAAAACACACCCTAGACTGCCTTATAAACATAACCATAGGCATAGAAGTTAGGGTTTTACAGTCCTAGTGTGGCACTGTGGGTTAATGCTCTGGAGAGCAAAGTCTGTTTAAACTTCAAGGTCAGTGGTTCAAGCCCATTAGGTGCTTCTTGGAAACCCCAGACATGGTCGCTATGGGTCAGAATCGACTTGAAGGCACTTAACAGCAACAACATTTTGAGAGAACACAAATCAATCTATGACAGGCATTATCTTAATCACTTCCAAAAGCAACAGTATTCTGTAACTTGAGTAGATTAGTAAAAATCCCAAATGAAAACACCAACAGAAAGACAGTACAAAATGTAGGAATTCCAGTTCCTGACTTTTGAAGTCAGGCAAATGCAGACCCAACTTTGACTCAGACATTTTCTAGTTACTGTTCCTGGGCAGGCTATTGAAACCCTCGTATGGTTAGTTCGTTAGTTCCATCGTCCTTGGTCTGTCTTGCCCCTGAAAAGACACCTAAAAGAAAAAATCTTACTTTCGAATAAAAAGAAATATTCTTAATAACAAGTCCACCTCAGCTATTGGCAAATTAAGCATCTCGTGTTCCACCACTCCTCTGTCCGTTTGCTGTTCTGTAATAGCTTACATGTTGCTGTGATTCCAGAAGTTATGCCACTGATATTTAAGTCATCCATGGTAGACAGGTTTCAGCTGAGCTTCCCGAGTAACACAGACTAGGAAGAAGGAGAGGTGCATTACTTCTGATAGTTGGTCACTGAAAAACCTTGTGAATAGCAGTGGAGCACTGCCAGATAGCACCAAAATATACTCAGACTGGAAGGCACTCAAAGTACAACTGAGGAAGAGCTGTCTCCTGTATGTAGAGTAGACTGTGATGACACAAATGGTGTAAAGTTTTCGGATCCTTCATTTGCCAACAGGGTACAAATCAAATTGGAATATGGAATATATGAAGTATAAATCGAGGAAAATTGGATGATGTCAAAAATAAAATGAAACACATTAAGATGAATATCTTAGGTATTAGCGAGCTGAAATGGACTGGTATTAAACATTTTGAATCTGATAATCACATGGTTTATTATGCTAGGAATGATAAAGAGGGATGGCACCACATTCATCATCAAAAAGAACATTTCAAGATCTATCTTGAAGTACAATGCTGTCTGTGATAGGATAATATCCATATGCCTAACTGATGTTATAGTTAGGCATATGCATTTCAATGCAAAGAAAACAAAAATCCTCACCACTGGACCAATAAATCACATCATGGTAAATGGAGAAAAGATTGAAGTTGTCAAAGAGTTCATTTTGCTTGGATTCACAATCAACACTCAGGGAAGCAACAATCAAGAAATCAAATTATGTATTATATTAGGCAAATCTGCTGCACAAGACCTATTTAAAGTGTTGAAAAGCAAAGATGTCAGTTTGAGGACTAAAGTTCAACTGACCCAAGTAATGGTATTTTCAATAGCTTCACATCTTGGTGAAAGTTGGACAGTGAATAAGGAAGACCATAGAAGAATTGATGCAGTTGAGTTATGATGTTGGAGAAGAATATTAAAAGTAACATGGAGTGTTGAAAGAAGTAAAACCAGAATGCTCCTTGGAAGCCAAGATGGCGAGAATTTGTCTCTCATACTTCAGACATATTGTCAGGAGGAACCAGTCTTTGGAGAAGGATATCATACTAGGTAAAGTGGAATGACAGCGAAAAAGAGGAACACTCCCAACAAGATGGATTGGCACATTGATGGTAGCAATGGGCTCAAGCTTAACAACGACTGTTAAGGATGGTGCAGGATCATAGGTTGCTATGAGTCGGAATCGACTCAAAGCACCTAATAACAACAACAACACAAAGAAGACCAGGTAATGCAACTATTAATTCAGATTTATACACCAACCACTAAAGCCAATGATGAATGAGGAAATTGAAGAATTCCACCAACTTATTCAGTCTGAAATTGATCACACATGCAATCAAGATGTATTGATAATTACTAGTGATTGGAACACAAAGGTAGGAAACAAAGAGTTGTTGGAAAGTATAGCTTTGGCGATAGAAACTATGCTTGATATCACATGACAGAATTTTTCAAGACCAATGATTTCTTCATTGCAAATACCTTTTCTAAACAACATGAAAGATAACTATACACATGGACCTCACCAGATGGCATACAGAGAAGTCAGATTGACTACATCTGTGGAAACAGCCAAAACAAGGCCAGCACAGACTGTGGAACAGACCATTAATTGCTAATATGCAGTATTCAGGCTGAAGCTGATAAAAATTAAACCAAGTCCAACGAGAGCCAAATATGACCTGGACATATCCAACCTGAATTTAGAGATCATCTCAAGAACAGATTTGATGCATTAGACACTAATGACCAAAGACCAGAAGAGTTGTGGGATGATATAGAGAACATCATACAGAAAAAAAGTAAAAGGTCATTAAGAAGACAAGAAAGAATGAAAAGACCAAAATGGAAGTCAGAAGAGACTCTGAAAGTTGCTCTCCAGCCTAGAGATCCAAATGGAAGAAATGCGGAAGTAAAGAGTGAACAGAAAATTTCAAAGGGCAGCTTGAGATGACAAAGTCAAATATTTGAATGAAATGTACAAAAACTTAGTACTAGCAAACCAAAAGAGAAGAACATTTCTCAAGCTGAAATAACTAGAGGAAAAAATGAAGTATCACGCATGGTCAGTTTGAACCACAAGGTTGGCAGTTCAAACTCAGTAGCTGCTCCTCAGTACCCCTATACAGGGCTGCTATGAGTCAGAATTGACTCAACAGCACTTAACAACATGGGCAAAATATTGAATGATGTAGAAGGTATCAAAAGAAGATGGAAGGAATACACAGAGTCACTGTACCAAAAAGAAATGGTCGATGTTCAACCATCTCACAAGCTATCTTATGCTCAAGAGTCAAGGAAGAAATCCAAGATGCACTAAAGGTGCTATGGGCAACATTGTGAAGAACCTGTGCATAGATCCAAAAGACAGTTGTTCAAAGAGACCAAGGGAACACTGAATGGCTTAAAATTAAGAAAGTTGTGCTCCAGGGTTGCATACTTTTTCAGTTTTGTATGCTGAGCAAATAATCTGATAAAATATATTATATGAAGAAGAACATGACATCATGATTGGAGGATGACTCATTAGCAACCTGCAATGTGCAGATGATACAGCCTTGCTTGCTGAAAGCCAAGAAGACTTACTGAAGATCAAAGACCACAGCCTTTAGTATGGGTTGTACCTCAATGTAGAAGAATGGATGCATTTGAGTTATGGTGTTGGAGGAGAACATTAAAAGTACCATAGACCACCAAAAGAACAAAGAAATCTGTGTTGGAAGAAGTACAGTCAGAATGCTCCTTAGAAGCATGGTGGACAGATTTCATCTCTCATACTTCAGACATATTATCAAGAGCGACCAGTCCCTTGAAAA